TGTGGATTGCATCTGTGGTTTCCCGCGAGCTTGGGACGATCGCGAAGGCTGTGGAGAAGTCCAAAAATATCAAGGGTGATATAGTCAGGGACCTCTGGACAGCTTACACGAAGCTGTCCGCGGCCCTGACCTCCGTCATTACTAGGGCGAGCGACGGCAACTTGGCGGCAGATGGCGGCCAGTGATGAGCGCTCCAGGGCCTGGGCGGAGGAGAAACGCCGGCTCAATAAAGAGCTGGTGCTCCTCCGCTCAAGAGTGGCAGTCTTGGAGCGCGACAGGGGGAGGTCCACCTCCCGCTATACGTCCGGCAGGGACAGGGTGCCGGGGATGGGACTTGACCATGGAGTGGTCGGGTCCCGATAGTCTGGCCGGTGACCGCAGTCCAATTAGGACTAGGGGAAGGACTGCTCCCGCGGAGGGGGAGGGGCCGCGCGTGGCGGAGGAGGACCTGAGATCCCCGTATTTCAGGCCTCCTCTGCAGGGGGTTAGCAAGCAGATGAACCCCCTGGCGGCCGTCGCGGATAGGACCGCCCCTGTCGGCAAGAAACCTCCTTCGGAAAATAAAAGGAGGGAGAACGCCGACAGGGTCGATGATGAGGAGGACCGCATCGAGCGGCTTATCGGTGCGGCTCCTGCCACGCCTCTTAAGAGAGATGGGAGTGGCCCCCGCGACGATTCCGCCTCCAAAGGCACCACCTGCAAAAGAGGGCGGGAAAACCCCAGCTAATAAGGGAGCAAATACTACTCTCAAGGCTGGCAGGAAGGCGTCAGGAGTACCCCCTCCTACCACAAGGGTGGACCCGTCGCCCCCCGCAATCACCCCAACAACTGTGGCTGTGGGGAGCGTAACGGACGCGATCTGGGCGCAGGTCGTCTCGAGGGGGGCAAAGAGGGCGGCTGCCAAGGCGAAAAAGGCGGAAGCGGAGCCGCCCCGGCCGCCCCCTAAGAGCGCGAAGAGCGCCAATGCGCCCGTGGCCCATGCTCCCAATAAAAAGGGGAGCAGTGGAAAAGCGGGAGGGACGGCGAGGAAAGGGAGCACTGCCGCGAGGCCTCAAACCTCCGACAAGAAACAGGCTCCCCTTCCCAAACTCAGGTCGCCCAGCTCGGCGGCCATTACGGTCACGTGTGCCGACACCTACTCCTATCAACACGTGGTGGGGAAGGCGAGATCCTCCATGCCCATCAAAGGAGTCAG